GCACTGTATCAATCTGCTAAAATAAATAGATATTTATAATACATTTTAAAATATTTATTAGTGCATTATAATATATAATAATGGGATTCATTTTGATATAATCATACATGCATAAAATATAATTTGTTTTATTTCAGCACCTATAATTTCCTCTTATTCTCCCCTTGTCTCTCCTTTTGTCTACTGGCAATTCTTGGTTTATTTGCTTTTTATTATTTGGTGTTTTATAGATACACATAAAGGTGAAATTCACTGTGGTATATTCATATATGTGCATAGCATATTTTCTTCAATTTCGTTCCATATTTCCTCCCTTTTCCTGTTCCTCCTCCCTCACCCTCAATCCCCTTCCCCTACTCCACTGATCTCCTTTCTGTTTTCATAGGATCTCCCTCCTTTTTTCCTTATTTCACTCTACCTTCTGCATATGAAAGTAAACATTTGATTCTTAACTTTCTGAGTCTGGCCTATTTCACTTAGCATGATGTTCGCCAGTACCATCCATTCATAGATGACATAATTTCATTCTTCTTTATGGATGAGTTTCAAACTCCATTCTCTTTATCCATTCATCAGTGGACAGGCACCTGGGATGATTTCATAACTTGGCTATTGTGAATTGTGTGTGCTATTATGAACACTGATGTGCCTGTATGGCTATAATATGCTGATTAAGTGATGAAATTTTTAGATAAATACCAAGGAGGGAAAAAGCTGGGTCATATGTTGTTTTCATTCCTACGGTTTTTTGAGGAATCGCCATACTGCTTTCCAAAGGGGTTATACTAATTTGCTATCTCACCACCAATGTATGAGTGTATCTTTCCCCCCACACCTTTGCCAGCATTTATTATTATTTTTACTACTGATTATTGTAATTTTAACTGGAATGAGATGAAATCTCAATGTAATTTAGATTTGCATTTCCATGATTTCAGGAGGTTTAACATTTTTTTCATATATTTGTTGGCCATTTGTATTTCTTCTTTTAAGAAATATCTGTTTCTTTTTCCCATTTATTGATTGGATTATTTGAGTTGTTTTTTGATATTAAATTTTTAAAGTTCTTTATATATTCTGGGTTTTGATTCTGTTGGAGGAGTATCTGGCAAAGATTTTTGCCTATTTTTAGGTTCTCTTTTCATGTTCCTATTTCCTTTGCTATATAGAAGCTTTTAATTTTATTCCATCCCACTTATTGATTCTTGGTTATATTTCTTGCACTTTGGGGATCTTGATAAGGCAGAGCCTATGCCAATATTATTGGAGTGTTGAGCCTATGTTTTCCTCTAGTAGTTGCAAGCTTTCTGACTTAGTTTTTAGGTCTCTGATCCACTTTGATTTGATTTTGTGCAGGATGAAAGATAGGGATCTAGTTTCATTCATCTATATATGGATATCCAATTTCCCAGCACCATTTGTTTAAAAGGCTATCTTTTCTACAAGGTATGTAGAAAAATATAAAATATCTGTATCTATGTAGGCTTGTTTCTGTGGCTTCTATTCTATTCCATTGGTTTTCATGTCTCTTTTGATGCCAATACCATGCTATTTGGGTTACTATAGCTCTGTAGTATAATTGGAGATCAGGTAGTATGATGCCTCCAGAATTGCTCTTCTTGATCAGTATGGTGTTGGCTAGTCTAGGTCTTTTATTATTCCAAATAAATTGTTAAGACTATTTTTTTCCTAGTTCTTTGAGAAATTTCATGGGTATTTTGGTGGGAAATGCATTAAACCTGTCTATTGCTCTTGGTAACATGACCATTTTGACAATATTAATTTTGCCTGTCCATGAACATGGGAGGTCTTTCTATCTTTTAAGATCTTCTTCAATTTATTTCCTTAGCATTTATATTTTTCATCATAGAGCTCTTTCACTCCTTGGTTAGATTTATTCGCAAGTATTTTTGGGTTTTGTGGTTTTTGTGAATGGGAAAGTTTTCCTGATTTCTTTCTCAGCAGATTCATTATTGGAGCTAGCAAAGTTATTGACATTTATATATTGACCTTTTTCCAGTTACTTTACTGAATTCAAGACTCCAGAAGTCTTCTGGTTGAGTTTTTGTGGTCTTCTAAATATAGGATCATGAACAAACTGGTTCTATCCTTGATGGCCCATTTTTACATTGGGGCCAGAAATCTAATTAAACTTTATGAGTTTGGTAGGCTAACAAAAAGCTATTTTGCCACCACTGGGTTCAAAATATTTTTAGTTGTAGATGTACACACAATACCTTTATTTATTTATTTATTTATTTATTTATTTATTTATTTTTATGTAGTGCCATGGATCAAATCCAGTGTCTCACACAAGTGAGACAAGTGCTCTCCCACTGAGTTACAGCCCCAACTCTGCTACCAGTTTTTTTATCTGTTTGTTTGCTTGGTTTTTTTTTTTTTGTGTGTGTGTGTGTCTTTTTGAAGATTGAACCCAGAGCTTTGCACATGCTAGTCAAGCACTCTACCACTGACCTCCATACCCAGTTCTTTTTACTTTCATCTTGAGAAAGCATCTCATAAGTTTTGCAAACTGGCCTCAAACTCACAGTCCTCCTGCCTCAATCTTTCAAGCAGGACTGTCACTAATTTTAAATAAATGAATACTCTAATACTCTTGCAACACATTCATCTAGAGAAAGCTAAATAAAAGCTGAAGGTAAGAGAAGCCAAAGGTCTCATACTCAGAAACAGAAATATATGAAATTCACCCATTTTCACCTTATCACTTCACCTCTCCTGCCCCAGATTTATTTGGTGTCACTGCAAACAGGTTTATCTGGTGTCCCAAAAAACAGAGGCTGTTTCCAGAGAGTAAATGTATGCTCTTTTGTCATAGTAGATGAGTGAGAGTCATTGTTGTAGAGGTGGTGGAGAGTGTGGGGGTTGAAGTGCTACTTACAAAGTCCTTTAAGCAGTTCTCCTGTTTTAAGGCCAGACACCTCTCCAAAAATCCTCATCTCCCAATATTCAAAAGTAAAGTCTGTTGCCTCCAGTTCCTGGGCTAAGCATAACAGTGGACCTGGATGGCTTCTTCCTGGATTCCCCTTCCGCAAGCTTTGGTTTCACATTTCTTAGCTCTTTGAAGCCTGTTATGTTTACATTTTTTCTTCAGCTTTTCAGGTATTTCTGGCATTCCATCTCCTATGTCCTTCTTTTCCTTTGTCTTTGTGATTATGGAATTTGTCTCTTTAAATATCCTCATGTTGGAGTTTTAGAGAGACAGAAGTAACACATGTTCAATCTTCCATACTTCATAAAAATTGGTCTTTTCTGTATATTATTTGAACCTATGTGAAGTTATTTTATTCTATGTTGTATGAGTAGTTATTCAATCAACTAATTAATAAGAAGTAGAGATGAGCCTCTGGAAAAAAAAAAGGTAAGGAGGGAAGCCTAAAAATGAATATCGATGAAAAAGCAAGATTTATGTACAATGTTCTTTCAATGACAATGACAGTGTCAGTAATCTGCCAAAAAGCATTCTTCTGCAGACTCTGAGACAGAAAACAATGAATACCACCTACTCACTCTCATTTATTGTGCTCAAGAAGCCTTCCCACAAGCAAAATGCACTCTTAATGGGTTAATAAACTGATATACATTAAGTACCTACAATAGATGAGACAAAAGAAAATCTCCAAAATTTGCAAAGACACCAAGTTATCTGCAATTAATTCTGAAGATTCTTCTTCTTTGTCATCCTTCCTCTTTCATATCCCTGGCCATCATCTCCTACTCCATGTAGCTACTCCTCCCCTTCTGTGGGAGAAATGATGCAAAGATATTGGGGAAGTTGGAATTTGTGGAAGACCATCCTTGCACATGACTTGAGTTTCCTCCCCAGCTGGGTGTGAAGTCCTCCATCACAGCGATGTGGCAGAGCTTTCTCCACCCCCTTCCTGGGTTCAGAACGTGTCCCTGTGGAGGCATGTCTTACCACTGCTCCAAAGATCCAATCATCACATCTGACCTTGTCACACTGCCCTCCCTTGACCTTCATAGGACACGATTTTCCCCAGAATTTTTGGTTCTCCAACAAAAGCCCACTCTCTAGAGTGCTTGCTCTTTCTCACTAGCCTCTTCTGTAAAACCTCACTGGCCTCCCTGGGGAGCTTGAGGCAGAGAGCTCCAGGAGCCATCCTCTGGCTGGTTTAAAGGTAAAACTGTGTGTCTGTGTCTTTAATTTAAACTCCCAGAGAATTTTCACATGTGAAGGAACCTTTCCAGTCTGCGCTGGCCATGGACTAAAGGAATTCCCCACCAAACTTCAGTAAAAGAATTTCATCTCAGTAGAATTTTCATACTCCAGATCCTAGGCACTTCCTATCTATCTCAGGTACTACCTTGCTGATAGAAAGGCAGCTTGCGAACAAATGCTAACAAATTATAGAGTGACATATCTCTATGGGTTTTGGTCATCAATATTCCTTTTTGGAGAACTCCCCTTGTATATGTGCATGTATATTCCCCAAAGAAACTAAAAAATGTTCATCTTATCTTTCCAAATGTGAAACTCCCTACATTCCCCCTTCATTCCTCACATTTTTTTCCTTCATTAATAATTTACCATTTCTTTCACCAAAACTTCCATCAGAAATCACGAGTTTCTCATGAGACATTAAGCATTTTCACCCTCAGAAGCCAAAGCTGTGTTTCTATACAATATTTTCCTGCATGACCTGAGACAAGGTCAGGGAAGAAAATTATATGCAATGATGAACATATAGATCATTTCATTCACTTTGAGGTTTTATGCTTTTAAAATCATGAATTTCAGGAGTATTTGAGGAACCACGATGTCAGTTTTTACCCTAACCTCTGAAGAATCTTATATGAGGAAAATTTACTTTATGTTCTCCTGCTGGGTCCTTAGGGTTGGTCTGGATGACTTTGATAGCAGTGCCTGGTAGGTGGCTACAATAGTAGACTAGTTCCTGGTCCTTAAACCAAAGTGATTCCAGAGGCAGATGCTCAGCAGCCAGGCCCCTGGTGGCTGCTCAGAGTTTTTGCTCAGCTCCCCCTGCAGTTTCTGCCACTGTGTCACCCAGAGCACAGTAGTACACAGCCAAGTCTGACTCTTGGACAGAGGCTTTCACCAGGTGGAAGGAGGTCGTTTCTTGATCATATGTAGCTTCAAAACCTTTGTTGCTGACCTTATCATTGGCCTTCACAGCTTTCAGGAGGAGCTGTAGACCTTCTCCAGGGTATTGAACATACCAGAATAGGGCTGGGTACTGTGAGGTTTTATAGGAACAGTTCACAGTCAGGGAAGTCCCTTCAGAGAGGGTCATTTGTCCTTCTGTCTGGATTACTGAGTCTCCATTGCTTCCTCCTAAGAAGAAAATTAATAACAAATTAGTCTAGGTTACCTTAGTCATGATCTCCTTTTAGAGAAAATTATTCATCAGCATGGTAGAACCAAAGGCTCTAAGATCTACGTGCCACTTTCCTTACCAAATCTTAAGAGGAGTACAATCACCAGTCCTGGGGCACAGTTCATTTTCACAACCTCTTTAGTCCTTGGATCCTGAATTCACAGTGTAAGGAAAGGTCCGGGTCACAGTGAGAGGAAGCCTGTGAGCTCAGAAGTGAAACAGGAAGAGAGATGAGATCGAGATGAGAGAGAGAGAGAGAGAGAGAGAGAGAGAGAGAGAGAATGAGTTAGAAGATGCACCCCCTTGTGGGCAAAGTGGGAAACTCAGTGGATTGTTGACCTGCTCTCTCCAGTGAGTACTGTAGCTCTGCCCTGGCTTCTTTTCTAACACATCTGTTAGCTGTTGGATGATCCATCATAATTCTAAAGAATAGTTGGTATTTTTCATAAGTTCATTTTTACCTGGAACATCAGATTCCTTGGAAACTCCTCATGCCATGCCATTTCTAAGAAGAATTTAATTTTACCTTCCCTTATTCAGACATTATGGCAACTATACGATCCACTGAAAAATTATCTGAGCAAGTTATAGCATAACATCAGAGGAATGCCAACATGTTTAGTCATCAATAGATGACTTTAGATGGAAGGGACTAGACCCACACTCTTTCCACACTTGAACAATGTCAGGAGCTTAGCCGGTGGTTAACTAATGTTTCTTAAATGTGAAAATGAAATTTGTTTGGTTGAGGAAATGTCACTATTTGAATATCATATTGTTTCATATTTATGACATCAACTATAAGAGACACAATATAACAAAAGTCTTTCAAAGAAAATAATTTTTTATTAGATACATACCAATTAAAATTAAAAAACAGCTGGGGATATAGCTCAGTTGTAGAGTACTTGCTTATTGTGCACAGGCCCCGAGTTTGATCTCCAGCACCACAAAAAGAAAAAAAATGAAGACTATGGAATTATTAGTATTGAATAAATGCAATAAGGAATAAAATATTTTCAACCAGTTTCTTCTGGCACCAGTTTCTTCTGCCCTAGGATTTTAATGATGCCTAAATAATGTGATGGAACAATGCATATCATGTGAATTCTTTTGTGTTTGTCTTCAAAACTGTTGTTATTCTGATGCTAAATTTCAATGGAAATTTGCCTTAAGTGTGCTTTCTACATGTATCCATTTCCCAACATTATTAACCAATAGAGGTTAATAAAAATCATAATCATTTTATAATAGTATACTCACAGAATGTGAATTTTTCTCAAGAAACCAAAAAATGAGCTCAATTTCAGCTTCAAGGATTATAGACATGTTTGCTATTGTGGAGAATCATCTCACAGCCAGATGACATGTATGAGTTACATAATGATTAAATTTAAAATACATATTTGAGATCTATCCACTGATGTATAAAACAAGATCTTCAGGATTAGAAAAACAATCTCTTCATGTGTGCTTATTGCACCCATCATGACACAGGTTTACACAATAACCTTTAGGAACACTGACCAAGGCAGACAGTCAAGGTCTCAGTGAGGCACTGCTGGGGTCAGCATTGAAGGAGAGAAGGCAGGACGAGTTTTTTCTGCCAAGCCTTGCCAGTGTTTATCCTTGGACATGGAAACCGTCTTTAATGTGACTTCTGTAAACTCCGACTCTCCATGAATTTAGAGAAGGTATCTACATGGTCCCATGTAAGGTGTAAACACCTACGGGCTCCAGACTGGGGTACAAAATTAGGTCTGGATGTTTTTCGGGTTCATACTCACTCCTCCCTCTTCTTGTTGCTCCCCTGTGGTAGAGAAAGCAGTGTCTTTCTCCTTTCCTGGTGTTTTAGGCTCATGAGTCTAACCCAGTGTACCTGAAGTCTAAGCACAAATAGAGTGAGCAATGGGCTGGGATTGTGGCTCAGCGGTAGAGATCCTCTAGCACTGGAAAGACCCAGGTTTGATTCTCAGCACCACGTAAAAATAAAGGCATTGTGTTGTATCTAACTACACCTAAAAATAAATATTTAAAAAATAGAGTGAGCAGCTTCCCTTTCTGTAATTTCCTTTATTTATTTATTTATTTATTTATTTATTTATTCATCGGAGATTGAATTCAAGGGCTCTCGACTACTGAGCCACATCCCCAACACCATTTTGTATTTTATTTAAAGACAAGGTCTCATTGAGTTCCTTAGCACTTTGCCTTTTGCTGAGGCTAATTTTGAATTTGCAATCCTCCTATCTCAGACTCTTGAGCTGCTGGGATTAGAGAAATGCACACTGTGTCTGGCTCCTTTACTTTTCAACTCAATCTTGATCCTTGAGTTATAGCAACCCTCTGTTGCCCTGGAAGAACCTAATGACACAGCATGAGTTTATACAATGGTGAATGTTATTGAAGAATTGTAGCAGAGGTTTCAGTGGAATATGGTAAAACTTAGAGATGAATGAAAAAATTGCATAAGCTAATTCACAGCTAACAATAGATCCATTCAGACAGCCTGACTTCCAGAGCGCAGGATCTCTGCTTCAGGGACTCAGTTTTATCCAGCTGTGTTAGTCAAGAGTTAGCCAGGAAAACCAATCAATTACATCCTTACTTGAACAAAATGAAATGTTCTTGAAAATTAGAGAAACTAGCAAAATTATGTTTTATAATTGATCTCTGTAATAAGTAGACATTAGTTGACTGCAGACTATAACCCTTCTGTGTTATATAAATTCCTCTTTGGAAACTTTAGAGTTTTTCAGAAAATTAGTTCTGAACAAGAGAAGAAAGACCATATCCTAAAGGTACAAATTAAGCTAACAACAAATAACAATCCATAGCAAATTGAGCTAATTTCTGTTACTTATTCATAAAAGTTCTAAGAAATTTATTAAAGTTCTAGAAACATTAAGACCTCTCTAGGTGCCCTAAAGATGCACCCCTATGTATATCACAAATGGCTCAATAAATGCTACTGAATGAGTTTTCAATAAAGGACACACAAACAAAAAAAATGGTTTTTCATTGAGGTAAATAGTGACAATCTCCTAGTACTACCCTGTGACTATCATTTCTTAGTTAATGAACTTTTTAAAATTTCTGGATTCCTTTCCTTCTATTCCTAAATTTTGCCTTCTGTCCCTAGTTTTTCTCATCCAAATTTTCCTTTTGCAATAACAATGATCTTATTGCTTGACGCTAAGACCCAATCACTTTGTCCACTCACATATTCATAATTATTCCTGAATAAATATCTCTGAATATAATAAAACACAGAACTAAAGAATCTGAATTAGGAGAGCATAATATGCATAAAGTTAAGTTTTCTTTTTGTTTATAGTGGCTCTTATTTTTCTAAACTGAGTTATTTTATTATAAACTTTACTTTTCAACTCAACTTTATTCTTTGTATTGCAGAAAACTCCTATTGCTATAGATAACTCTATTTCCCATAATCCCCTACTTCTTATGGTTCTGAGTACAAAAGTGAACTTGCAAAATATTTGGGAGACAGACAGGAAGCAGCAGCCATTGTCTTCTGAACATCATCCTTGGTCAGAGATGGGAAAAGCACAGGATCCTCACTATTTTATTTTGTTCTCACTCTTCCCTGATGGCACTTAATAACAAATAACAATCCATAGCACATAAATTACCATCATCACAATGCTTCCCAAATGCTAAGGGATCACATAAACTACAGCAATAACACCTGAATCCCACACAATTCCACAAAGAATTAGTGATCCTGATGCTGCAATCTTTGGGAATTATCACCACCCCAAATACCCATAATAAAAAGATCCCTGTGGCCATATGGTCATGAATAATTTTATGCCAGAATCTCATTTGAACTATTTTCCTCCTGGGAACACTTCTGAACCAGGTGTGTCAGGCACATGCTAAAAGCCTATTGCCTGCAAAACATTGAGACATGCTCAAAAAAAGCATGAACTTCACAGGCTCTAAAACCACCTCTTCCAATTACAAATCATATGACTTTGAACAATTGTCAAAACATCACAGAGACTCAGATTAGAGTTAATAATGTTTGCCTCATTGAACAAACATTAATAATTCATGATAAACAATATGCATCATAACTTGTACATAGTGCTTAATTAAATTGGGGATTCTCATTCACATTTTCCTACCAGAACAAGAATTATATTTTAGCAATGTTTAATTATTCTACAATTCATCCAGATTTTTTCACCCAGGCCATTGGTTCTGTACATGTACATTTTGATCAGGCCTCCAAGGCTGATTAAGTAATGGAATCAACATGCCCTTTAACCTTACCTGCTTGCAGGGCAGTATTACAAGAACCCGTGAGCAGGAGTCAGACTATCTGAGTATACAGCAGACTTCTCACTTACTAGATATATGACTTGGATATGACATAAGGCCTCTGAATCTGCTTTTCCAGCTCCAAAATTAGAAACAGGGAGCTAACCTAATTTTCTCATGGGTTTTATGTTAATATGGCATAAATAAATACATAAAATACAATATATTCTTATCCAAATATTTTTAAGTGGATCAGAACTCTATTACAAACCAAACATGGTCATACTACCTTATAACTTTTTGCCCTTCATTTTTCTGAATCTAGAGAATAAATTTTGAATATAAATAGTAACATTTCAAAAATGAAATACATAATAATATAGCAGAGCTCTCACTTAAATTTAAGAAATCAGGGCATGTTTCCTCTGCCCACCATTTCATGGTGGCTTTATATGGGGTGAGTTGAGAGGCATAACAGAAGCCCAACCCAGTTATACGGTACCCAAAACCCAACCCAACCAACACAAAACCAAACTTCCACTATTAAAAATGCTTTTCATTGGCTGAGCAGGTAGTTCAGTAGTAAAGCACTTGCCTACCATGCTCTGCATTCAATCCCCAGTACCACAAAAATAATAAAAACAAAAAGATGCTTTTCTTTGCCTATCAATTTCTAGACATCTGTTTTCCAAATGTGAATGCTAG